GCCAAGTGTTCACTTGCAAACTTGAAACAATCGATTATCAAAAGCCAAGTTTTTACTTGCAAATTCATTCAAAGTCTTTCCCGAAACAAACTTCTCTTCATCACACCATTGCTGCTGGCCACAGTAATGAACTCTACATCTCCAGAGGATTAAAACGCGTTATATAAATTCAGTGTTCATTGCTGGAGCGGACTTGTTCACGGGAACATATCCGTAAACCAGAATGTTCAATTCAGAAACCCATTTTACATCTCGTTGGTCAAAATCCAGTGTTCATTGCTGGAGCGGACTTGTTCATGGGAACATATCTGTAAACCAGAATGTTCAACTCAGAAACTCAGCTCACATCTCGTTGGTCAAAATTCAGTGTTCATTGCTGGAGCGGACTTGTTCACAGGAACATATCCGTAAACCAGAATGTTTAACTCAGAAATCCATCACACATCTCGCTGGTCAAAATTCAGTGTTCATTGCTGGAGCGGACTTGTTCACGGGAACATATCCGTAAACCAGAATGTTCAACTCAGAAACTCAGCACACATCTCGCTGGTCAAAATTCAGTGTTCATTGCTAGAGCGGACATGTTCACGAGAACATATCCGTTAACCAGAATGTCCAACTCAGAAACCCAACAACTAATCCTTAGTCATTATGCAATAACGTGTTCATTCTTAGAGAGGGCGCGTCAACGGAGGCTCGTCCGTAAACTAAGAAGTTCATCAGAAAACCCAACAACTTAAACGTTGGTCATTATACAATAACATGGTCATTCTCGGAGCAGACGCGTCGACGCAAATTCGTATGTTAACCGAAATGATCATCTGAAAACCCAGCTAACTTGTCGCTGGTCCCAACAATAATATAGTTGATCTTTGGAAATTCGACGACAACCTTCCTCAAAACCAGGATAACCATCGCCCAACTCAAATCGCTATCTCAAATAACGCAAGGCAAAAATGACGATAAGTCTGAACAAAAGGAAAAACATCATCCACGCTGAATACTAAGTCTAAAATCAAAAGTACGACAAAGTGCTGAAATAAAAATCAAACAACTAAGACACAAATCTCAGAAGGAATCGCCGCTGCAGAGTTTGACAAATCATCATCGCTTGACGAATCAAAAGAATTTGAATCAGACTCAGCCTCCTCTTCAACGGCATCAGTGTCAAATTTCTCAACTCGATCATCGGTCGTGCTAACAGGCGAATCCCTAAGGATCCCTTCAAGATCGCGCACATGCTTTGCAAACACCTCATCTGCGAGTGATAGCCTCCTGCTTCTCAAGGTCAACGAGCTCTTCACCAAGATCAGGCGCCTTATCACTCTGAAGCAATTTAACGAACTCAATGTAACTCCGGACTTCAGCAAGATCAATTATGTCAATCTTCGGCTCGCCATTAACCACTCTAACCTTCCCTCTAGCGTGATCGATCTTCATTTCGTACTTCACCGCCAGCTCGCGCTTTGCTTCATCAACAGCCCACTGCATAGCCTCATCCTAAGCTTGGCAGAGACATCTAAGCTGTTGATTTACTTCAATTCTTCAAGTCGATGACTTTGCTCCGGTTTTGCCACGATCAAATCCATGTCAACGTCAAATCAACAAGTTCGCCTTGTTATCCTTCCTCGTCAAGATGACTTCGTTGACTTGTCGCTTATCAAAATGACCTCGTCGCATCAATCAAACTTAGCGTCGTCGTCGCATCGATCAAACTTTGCCTCGTCATCGCATTGATTAAACTTCACGTCACCGTTGCATCGATCAAACTTCGCGTCGCCATCGTATCGATCAAACTTCGCGTCGCCGTCGCATCGATCAAACTTTGCCTCGTCATTGCATCGATCAAACTTCACACCGTCGCATCGACCAAACTTCGCCTCGCCGTCGCATCACTTCATCGCCGAAGTCACTTTTTGATTGAGCTCCACTTCACCTCGTTGCCATCGCATTACCTCGGCGTCGTCACGTCAGCTCATCGCCGTCGTATCATCTCGTCGATATCGCATCACCTCGGTGTCGTTGATGTTGTGTTACTTCGTCGCCGTCGCATCACCTCGTCTCCGATGTCACCTTCCGATCGAGCTCTACTTCACCTCGTCGCTGATACATCACCTCGTCGCCGATGTCACCTCGTTGATCGGACTCTAATCCACCTCGCAGCACCATCGCTACCTTCATTGCGCGACACAAGCTCCATCGACCATCTCTCCGGAATCATCTAAGTCTGAAGTAGTCTCGTTGTTGTCCTTGTAGCGCGAATGTTTAAGCTGCGAATCCATAGAGTCAGAAACCATTCTTTTCGATTCACCTCTCCGCTGTACCAAAGAGCAACGATCTGAGTCAGTGTCACTCCACGAACCTAACTTTTTCACCGAGCCGTCGAGTCACAGAGTCGCCGAGTAAACAAAAAAAAAACTTAGAGGAGTCAACTCAGTGGGTCAACTCAGTGAGTCAACTCGAGCGAGTCAATTCTTTGAGTCAACTCGCCAGTTCAAAATCGCCATCTTCTTCCCCGATCTCGCCGTCGCCTCGCCTCGATTCACCGCTGCTACGCTTGCGATGGTCTCTCCCTCTCTCTCTTCTCCGCCGCGTAGGACCGCCATGAAGCCTCCATTGAAGACCACGCTCGATCATGAAGCCTCCATTGAAGACCACGCTAGATCATGAGGACCTCCGCTGAAGACCATGATCGCGTAGCTGGGTTGAACTGGCTTGGACCGACGGCGGCAGGGACCGACGGTGGCAGGGACCTAAGATGATTTTTTACCTTTTGCTGAGAAAAAGTGATTTTGTAGAAAATAATGTCTAAAAAACAGACTTATTTATACCCGGAGGATTTCCTAAAATCAGTTTATTTCTTTTTTGGAAAAATTCCAAAAACTCATCCAACAGGCTTCAAGGCCCACTAACACAAAAGACCATCAACCTCCTTAGTGTTCTAGGACAAAGAAAAAGAAAACAAGTCCAGGAAAACATGCAGACATCGGCTCAACGCGGAATAATGAAAACTTCCCAAGTTCGATGACAAGACGTCCACGCCTGGCAACTTCGCAGTCCAACACATCGATCTCAGACTTCAGCAACTTTTACCTCGGCATCATCATAACTCGATACTGCGAAGCTGGGGGACTAACTGTAGGGTCAGATTTCACCCGTATGAGATCGATATGGCAATGAGATCAACTCCACAACGTCTTGACGAAATCAAAGCAAGTCTACAAAGGCCCAACATGAATCTAGGCCCAAAAATACATTAAACTCATTAACAAAATGGGCTTAATGGATTAATGAACCTAATTTTAATATATTGCTTAATGGGCCAGGTCCATTTATTAGCTGGCCCATTTTACTTAGTATTATATATAGTCCCTCATTATCACCTAAAAAGGGGATCGATCATTCATTTGACAAACTCTTGTATTCTGAAACAGTTTTCTAACAACTTAATAAACTCTCTTGAGATCTTCGCGTTTGGTTGCTTCTCGCAGAACTTTACAAACCCTGAATATTTACTTAGATCGTAATTGTGAGATTCGACCGCCACAATTACCATTTATATTGACGGATAAGAGAATTCTTTTAAAAAATTCTGTTTCAGAGGATCAAGAAATGATGGGGCCTTCTATTAATGGAGTATTGGCATTTGTAACATTGGCATGTAACTGGATGTGGAGGATCTTAGGATCACTGATTAGTTTTTTATTGTAATTTTATAGCTCTTGTATTGAATTTTGCCTTTTCGGAAAACAAGTCTGATCATTGTGTAATTGTCTTTTGCTTCAGTTGTGATTTCAGTCAGCAGTTTAAGAGTAAGCGTGCATTGATCCCAACAATGCTCTTTTTGTAGCTTTTTTTTTTTTGGTAAACATACATGGTAATGGTTTGATTTTTAATGTGTCCACTCGAATTTCTCATGTTTCAGGGTGAGGTGGAGTCTTTGAAAGAGGTAAAACCAAAAAGACAATGGTGTTAGTGTTATTAAACTTGTTTGGTTTTGAAAAAGACATATACATGTACAATGTCTTGTCATGTTTCAGGCGTCTCAGGCTCAAATGGCTAAGTATACAGACTTAGAAAAGAAGTTGGACGATCTAACAAGGTAAATAAAAACAAGTATTGCATCTAAAGATAAAGCTTGTTTTGGTTTTTGAAAGGATATGTATGTATATGTAGTTATATGGTTGATCTATAATGTCTTTTTCAATTCCCATGTTTCAGTCATTTAGAGCTCAAATGGACAAGTTAAAAGAAATTAGAAAGATGTGAGACGATGTACTACACCAACTTGTTGGAGAAAACAAGAAGAAACGATTTGCTTTAGATCAGAGAATGAAGGCAGAATATGGACTCTTTAAAAACTAAAAGTACTTGATGATATGAAAGTGTATTTAACTCTTAGCTTTGAATCGATGATCGATCTGGCCTTATATTTTACTCCTAACTTTGGAATTTTCTTACCAATTAGTAAAAAGTACATTTAGATGTTGGTCCATTATATATCTTCAACTCCAACTTAGGGTATTACTGGTATATCTTCTAGAAGAGTAGTAATATATTTGTTACTTGCTCGAGAAGCGAAAAACCCTAGAATTGTAAATATCTTTCTTTTTTTTGGTCGAAAGAATTGTAAATATCTAATTTGTTACTTACACGAGAAGCGAAAAAGCCCTAGAATTG